ATAAATATTGGCAATAAATGTAGTAATTACAATTAAATAAAATACCTTTATCTAAAATTCTATAACCACATCATGTTTCATTTGCTCTATCTGGCAGCCACACAGGTCTATAGCCCCACATCACTAATGCTATTGACCCAATGCTGATGGGTGAAGAAAATAAACAAAAATTCTACACTGTAGATTAGTGGCAACAAGCTGACATTGGGTGCGTTAGTTTGCTACTTCAAGCCTCTGAAGGACAAAAACTTTTAAAAACTTCTTCTACAGATCAATCAACCTCAGTACCTGGTATGGCTCCTGAACGCTCCTGCCTTCAGAGGCACTAGAGACCGAGCCAGGCGAGATAAGGGGAGTCTCCTCGCTGCTTGGGGATTGGCGCGACGTCTGGGTGCAGTCCACAAGCACATCACCAATGAGGAACAAGTCTTCGTGTCTCTCAGGCATGCGACCATTCAGCTCAGTCAGTCTGTTGGAGAAGAGGGTATTAGTCTCATAGGTATTCTGCTTTCACTTATCAAATTCGTATATTGATGTATATATGATGTTTAATTGGCAAAACTGATCCACTGAGACAAATAAACCCTAGGTACACAAAAATTCTTATCAATATAATCAAATTAAAACATCATTAACTCATCATGCATTTCTATATAATTTTTTTCAAGTACTTTCCCATAATCCAAAAGCTTCAGCTATCAACTCAAACAGAAGCAGATTTACTCACCCATATTCATTAATATAATTAACAGTCAAGTTCTTCACATTGAGAAGCATCTCTGAAGTCATGGCAGCCTGGATGATGTGCTGTGTCCCGGATATTGTGCACTGCAGACCAAAACCAGACACTGCCCTAAAGTCCTTGCACTGTGCATTGAGGTTGCCCAAGCACTGTTGGCAGAACTTGGAGATTGCTGTTAAAGGAAGAATGAAAGTTGTAATTTAAAGTCTCACACTGTCACTTGATACCAAAGCCAGATGTACAGCAAATGTATGGAAATGAAAGAATGAAAAGGAAAAATTATATTCCTATAGGTATTTCCAATAGTATATCAAAATACATTCATCATTTACATCTGAAGTGTTATACTTCCCAAGAGTAATAATAGTTCACCTTAGTGAAAGAAATCAACGCTGAACAGGGAAAGGAACTTCTCTGTAGATGTAAAGACACAGATATAGGAATATAACATCAACAGAAAACCTACCAGTTGCAATGGGGTGTTCACTATTGAACTCAGCAGCTCCAACAATCACCAAGAACTGTGCTAGAGAACAGACAGTCTCGTCAACATACAAGCAGAGTTTGGCTAGTGTTGGAGTGCCGTGGGTGATAGTCCCGGTCTTGTCAAAAACAACAGTCTTGACCTGGGGAGAAAATGAAGTATCAATGGTAGCCCAGAGAGATTTCCACTCTTTGTTCAAATCACATACACACAATCTGAAGGACATGATTCAAAGTAGCTCAATCATACTGTATCAACAAGTAATGCAAAGTCTCTTCAATTACCTTGTGTGCATTCTCTAAGGGTTCTGCTCCCTTTATCAGGATTCCATTGGTTGCCCCGACACCTGTGCCAACCATAACAGCAGTGGGAGTTGCTAGCCCAAGGGAACAGGGGCAAGCAATGGCCAGGACAGTGATAGCACATCGGAATGCAAACTCAAATACAATTTCAGTTTTAGTGTATCCATCTCCTAACTGTTGGAGGAACAAAGAAAGATGGGCTTGTAAATAGATATTGCTACATGATATGGGGTTAGAACTATGTAAACCACATGAAATTCATTCTACGCTACATATCGAATGTATGAAATTTATATCTGCTTATGAACAGGATTCTGTTTGTAGAATTCTCTTTGTAGCAATATGGCATATGATCTCTGAGAATTGTTTTGCTGTAAATATCCTGTAAGCACCATAGGCAATGCAATATATCACAAAAAGGTGCAAACATATTTCAAAAAATGTTTCAATAAGCAAAGAATTAATCTTTTCTTAGGTATTAGTATTTCTCCAAACACCCTACAATACTGTTATTCAACAAGTGAATTCTGAGAGTATATCATTGAATGAATTGAATGAGAGTATAACATCCTGTCCAATGGTCTTAAAAATGTATCCAATGTGAGCACAACTTTCATGCAACAGGAAAAAAACTGTAAAATAAGATAAAGGATAAAATGAGATTTCTTGCGGGAAAGCCGACCAAATGCAACTTCTGGTACATTCAAGCACAAAAACATTAGTTTTTAGGGGGAGCTTTAACTAACCAGGGTAACTAGCAAATCAAAGTAATATAATACCTTATATCAAATATCTAAATATGACAACATTTAAAGATAACATATTTCTTTCCAACAGTCAATGCCCCCATAAACTTTTTGATTCCAGACAGTAGAATGGTCAGTTTTATATAATAATCATACCTTGTCCTTATAACTTTTGTCAACAAGCTCAATGTTGACATAGCCAATAATGATCCAACAGATGAGGGTGAGCGATGAAACTGTGACAACCATAGGGACAAAATAACCCGCGATCTTGTCTGCGAGCTGCTGAATAGGGGCCTTAGATGTCTGTGCTTCCTCTACTAGTTTCACAATCTGAAATAAACCATATACTTAATGAAGCCACAAAAAATCATACACATAATAACAAAGAAAACAAAATATCCATAAGCTGGAAAAATTTTTAATGATTTCACAACTCCCTCTCGCACAACATGACCTAGACTGAAGGTAATACAAAAACAGCACAGAGTACAAACTTGCGCAAGAGTGGTGTCATTCCCAATATGTGTGGCCTTCATCAGAAGTAAGCCATTCTGGTTTATGGATCCTCCAATGACTTGTGATTCCACTTTCTTGGTCACCGGCATGGACTCGCCTGTTATGAGAGATTCATCTACCATGCTGTTGCCTGATACCACAACACCATCCACAGGTATCTTCTCCCCAGGTTTTACCTATAAGAAAAAATTGTATATTAGGTCTATAATATATAGCTTTACAAGAAGAAAAAAACTGCACATTCTGCCAGAGAACTATACAAGTTTAAAGTTCTCAAGTAGTCTGTATATTCTTCATACTTTATTTCCAGATATGTAGCATTAAGTCCAGTTCCTATTCATCAACTTTAGAGATGTACCAGTTCCAGCATTGCCAGCCAGCACTTCTTCAGAGGCATGATTGTTGGAACTAATGTATACCCAAGATTACAGTCTTATGAATGATCTGTGATTAAAGAATTAAACCTTAAGTGTAGATAACATACAAACCATATACTTATTGAGCATATACTTACTTTCAGTATGTCTCCTCTCTGAATAAGGTTAACATCTATGATCTTTTCGGAGCTTGTGTCGCTGTCTTTGTCCAGGACAACTAAGGTAGCTTCTGTGGCTTGCAGTGACATCAACTTAGCTAAGGCCTCAGATGTTTTGCCCTGTTAAGCAAAAGCAAATTTAAGAAACTATTTGTGTGAAATGAATTTGAATTAACATTAACATTAACATCAAAGAATAGAAACCATGCTTTATTCAGAGTTCTGAAAAAATCTTCGAAGCAATCTCTTATGCTTCCTCTTTCCTCCCTTGTTCTAATCCCCATTCCCAGGCTCTCAGCCCAGACCCTAACTCACTCAATAATCTTACATAAAAAACAAAAATAAAGTGCAATATTCATGACAGCATTATATGCTTGCCCAAAACCTCTAATAAGATCATGTAGAGAATAAATGCCTGACAAGTAGTTGCAATCACTCATCTCACCTTTGCAATATGTTCTAGCCACCGCCCGAGAGATACAAACACTAGCAACATGGGTGGCGTGTCGAAGAACGTCATTGGGCTTGCGGTCTGCTGGAGGGCCATGGCAGCAATGACGACGCCCAGGGAATAGAAGTAAGATATTGTCGTGGCTAACATGATGAGGACGTCCATGTTGGCCGTCCTGTGCCGGAGGGCTTTGAATGCTTGCGTGTAGAAGTGACGGCCGCCAATAAACTGCGCGAGTTCAATTCAGATTACTGACAGGCTACAAATATTTTTACGAAATGAAAAAATATAAAAACATTTTGCAAATATCATAAACAATACTGATTAATTGTACAATAGGATTCCTACCTGTACAGGAGTTGCCAGGAGGAAAAGCAGAAGATTCTCCAATGAAAGGCCAGGGAGGACACAGCACATCTCCACGTGCGACATGTGCTCCATCATGGCCATGAAATAGACCATCACCAACATGGCTGGGACTCCTAAAAAGACAATGTCCACCATTAATAGGGTTGCTAAGCACTTATCAAGTTATATTCACAACATGAAGTTTATAACCTGACCATAAATCTGTCGTGATCTTTCCCACTTGTGACATTAATAAATCACATAAAGTAGCATAAGACAGAGGACCAATCAAGACCAATCAAAAACTTCTATAAACAATCCTTCTCACACGGCAACTCAGGAAGGAGTTCTTCTCTTATACACACAATAAACTAACAGCTCCAGTGTTATTTACCAAAGAGAAGGGAAATTATAAAAGAGTTCCTCCATTTTCTGATTTCCTTCTTGTGGTCCAAGTAGCTGCCTCTTCCCATGTCACCTGTATACAAGTTAGCTGTAAAACCTAAACCCTGTAAGATAAAAGATAAACATCAAATCCTTGTTCAAAAGAATTATATACATAATGATGAAGTCTGCAGGCAAGCTCATATACAATATAAAGGAACAAAATGAATTTTTTTCTGACTTATCATATTTACTACTAGATACTCACGTTAATGCAGTCTATAATATCTCGAGGGCCTGTGACCGCAGGATCGAAAACGAACTTGCCCCTCTCGGTTGCCAAAGCTACCACTGCCGACTTGAGGCCTTTCATTTTCATGACATTGGACTCGATGGCATAAACGCAGGACGAACAAGTCATGCCTGAAATCTTTAAAATTGATTAGACTGATGAATTGCCCATCACTGTCAAATGCAACAGACTATCAAAAGAAATATCTGCAGAATCTGTAATGTTTTTTGATAATGAAGCTTGGTCGTGTAAAATTCATAATAATTCAAAAGCCTAAAGACAAATGTCCAGCGACCATGTAACTCAGTATTTAGGATAAACTGTAAAAAAATTCAGCCAAGGATTTGACACACAGTATTAAAGACAATAACAAACAACTTTAAATCAGGAGACAAGTAAGAAGTAGCTGCACAAAAGTTGTTTACTGAGCCCCAAGCAAGTCAAAAATCCCAATGCATGTGCTTACTTCCAGATCTACTTCTCCCTGGCCGACCCCCTCGTCCAGCACGGAAGACGGGAAGCCCAGTTCTGTGATGCTGGAGGCTATCTCGCTTGGTGACACTTGAGCCGGGTCGTAATTTACTTCGGCCTTCGCTGCCATCAGCGCCACCAGGATGCTCCGGACACCTGCCATTTATAAACAGATTCTTGGAGTGAAATGATGCTTTTGAAAAGACAGCCTCTCGCTTGTTAGGTTTATGATGCTTGTGTTTTTATTCTCTGATGGGAAAATACTGTGTATATATGTATATTTATATGTATATGTATACACATACGTATACGTATATGTATAAGTATATGTATATGTATACATATCTGTACACACATATGTACACATGCATGTGTGTCTATATCTACAACTTCAAGAACATTCCAAAGTTATATGAAAATGACCAGCTAAAGTATTCACCTTTCAGTCTGTTGACATGCTTCTCAATTGCTGCCACACACGAGGCACAGGTCATGCCTTCTATCCGAACGAAGCACTTTTCAAACGCAGATTCGTCTCCTTCAAAGGCTTCATTTTCTTTCCATGAACTGGTTATACTTTTCTCATGGCTGGCCTTAGGAACTGGAAAGGATCAAGCCATAACATAAATCATTAAAATTATTTAGAATATATTTCTTGCTTATTTTTAAAAAACTGTTATCAAGTGCATATTACAACTAGGCATTACAACTTTAAGAGGAAACAAAATAAAACAGGAGAAAACCCATATGTAATAAATCTGCATCTTACCTTTACCATTAGGTATTGATGAAACACTTCCATTCTGAGAAGATTTCACCTTTGCTTCGAAACCCATGTCATCTATCATATCCGCTATCAATTCTGGACTCAAGACTGATGGGTCGAACTTTACTGTTCCTTCCTCCTTCTCTAAACTCACCTAATGGAAATTAAAATGTGTAAATACACCCCAAATTTATTTACTTACAACCATATGTGAATTATTTTCTTGTAAAATATCATATCTGCATAACTTTAATACACTTGATTAACTTTCAAAATACAAAAAAAAAAAAATCAAAATACATCAAATGGAAGAGTATATCAATCTGCAGGTTATATAGTTGATGATGAAGATAAATCATACCCTAATGTATCAGATTAAGAAATCATTTCTAAAAATAAATTACATGACCAATATGAACACTCTCCACTCTTACCGATATAGAGGCTATGCCATTCTTGCCGCCTATCGTGCCTTCTATGTTGCGCACACAGGAGTTGCAGGTCATGCCCAGTATAGAAATGACACAGGTCTGTTGGCCCAGAGAAACTCCAGCCGGATCGCACGGTGAGGGCAACACGGCCTCGAATCCCATGTCTTCGATTTGCGTCCGTAACAATTCGGGATTTGTCTGGGATGGATTATAGATGATTGTTCCGTTCTTCTCTTCTAAACTGACCTGAAATAATATGGAATCGTTCAAGTACACTCAGACTCAGGAATGCAAGTTAATTATTATTTTAATTTGTCCACATCTGTCCCAACTTGGAATACTAACTGGTCAGCTTGTATTTTTTACTGAGGCAGTACCTGTAGTTATTGGCAACATTAAATATTCCAAACAAACAATAATTGAATCTGAAAGGATGACACACATGGATGGGGCCTCAGGGACTATGGAGATGGTGTGAGGGACAAAGAATAGGAAAAATGAGCTGAGATGACAACTTACTTTTATTGAAATAACTCCTTCTTTCTCTCCAATTGTTCCTTGTATATTCTTTACACAGGACATGCACGTCATTCCCTCGATCCCTATGGTCACTGTTGCTTTATCATCGGCTATGAGCTCGGCCTCAAACCCCATGTCGTCTATGGTTGCTCTGGAAAAACAAAAACAAAAATAAGTTTCCTTAATCACATTTCAAGATTCTAAATATATAAAAGGCTCAATAGTGCTGCAAAGCCATTACATAAAAAAAAAAACACTTGGCAATCTCTCCTATCTGCATACTTTAGCAATGAGAAAATGATACCTCTCTATTCCTAAGACACGCTGACTCGTCACTCACCTGACATGGGAGGGCGAGACGCAGGAAGGGTCGATGATGAGGGTGGCCCGCTCGTTCTCCAGGGACACCT